AACCTGGTCTTGAACGCGGCCAGGGATGGAGCATTCACAGCCTCCCTGGGTGATGATGTCCAGCATTCCCAAGTCCGTGTAACACAGGGGGGTGAGCAAGGTAGCCATGGACCCACACGTGGACCGCAGTGTGAAAGGCAGCACTGAGCCCTGCAAGAGCACAGATCATAATCGAACTCCCCCCATCTCCTCTCCCCAGCTTCACTGCATGGCCCGGCTATGCGGTATTAATCGCAATTACCCGCGTAGCTCATGTCCAGTGGCTATTACCTTTTAATAGGTGCCACCGTGCAATTAAGCAGCAGCAGTGCGAGGCAGGGATTCTGCAGCGCCAGCAGCTTTTGCAGAAAGCCACGAGATGGCGATGCAATAGAGATTTACACCGAGAGAAAAAGCGCTTCGGGGTTACAGAGGAAAACCCAACCCTTCATCCGCTGAGCCCCCACCATAGAGATGTACAAGTTTTACGTTATTTTCCTTCTTTTTCAGGGGGCATTGTACACGGTGGCTCTGCATTTACTGTGTATTGTTAGAGACCTGAAGCACAGCACAGTTTGCATTTTGTTTTAATGTTAACAGATGCTATGAAATCTGCTGTTACAGCAGCAGCTTAATCCTGCCATGACCAAGCAAGTCTGCATGAAAGGGCAGTAAACTGCAGCCCATTAGGGTTTGCTGTATAACAGTCTTTTAAAAACAGTATCTTCCCTTTCTCTAGCAAAATGCCCCATTTCCCATGAGATATATCCATCATTGATAGTCGTGCTGAAAGAAATTTTGGCACAAAGTGAAAAATTAATTAAGATTTTTAATTAACATACAGGGAGGCATGGAAAATGGAGAGCTGGCTGGTGTAGCACATGTAGTTGCAACCCCTTTACCCTCTGAGCTCGCCCCTTCCCCTGGGATGGTGTGACTGAGATATGTAAGGTGTGGTGAATAAGTGTGACTTGAATGCACAAGCTGGATGTCAAGACAGATATGAATATTGCCACTATATATCCCTTTACTTTACCACCTTATTTTTGCTTATAGTCTGTCCCCTTTACCTGAAACATAGAATTATAGAATCATAGAATGGTTTGGGTTGAAGGGAGCTTAAAGCTCACCCAGCTCCAACCCCTGCCACGGGCAGGGACCCCTTCCACTACAGCAGCTTGCTGAAGCCCCTGTGTCCAGCCTGGCCTTGAACACTGCCAGGGATGGAGCAGATACAGCTTCCCTGGGCACCCTGTGCCACTGCCTCACCACGTGTGCCCATAGGCAGAGGTGCAGTCCCCTTTTATTTAGTGAATGGATATTGAATGTCTCTATGGACCAGCTTCAGGGTTGGGGTTTTACATGGCGCTATCCCACCCTGAGGGACTCAGGGTTGTAACTGCTCCTCTGCAACCCCAAACTGAGTGGCTAATGGTCTTCCTAGTTCTGCTGTTAGGGATGGGGTCTTAAGTAACAGCGCATGGGGCAGCGGCTTGGAAACTTCCTTCCAACCAGTCCCCTGGTGCAACAAGGTCCCATGGCTGTTCCTATGACTACTGTCAGCATCCGGTGGTAACATTAAGAGTTTTACATGTTGGGAGTCAAACCAGCAAATATCGAACTGTATTCAAATGCTTGTGAGGCAGAAGGCAAGACACATGTTCAACACCTCCATGCTCCTTCTATCATGCTCCTTCCTCAGTGAATGAATATGCAAACCCTAAAGCCATCACCAAGGGTGAGTTTCCTTTTTTAATGCGACTTCTTAGCACAACCCCATTAAAAAATTCCCTGCCTCTTCTCTGGGTCTCTGCTCCTCTCCAGCTTCCACACTGGGGGGCAGGGCTCCAGCCAATGCTACCCCAAAGGTGGTGGCACACACTGCCAGCCAGCCCTTCCAGTTTACGCTGGTTGCCTCCAAAGTCAATCCTCACCTGCTCATACAGCACTCAGCCCTTCATCCCCGCACAGGGACAGAGCAGCAGCATCTTTCACCTTCTCTCTCTGTGGGAGCGATCTTTCTACTGCCAACCCTGAATGTGGGCACCCTTTGAGCTGAATGAGGTATCAACTTTTGAGCCCACAATTCCATCAGGATTTACACAGAGGCAGCTTCAAAGTGCCCTCGTGAAAATTTGTCCTGCAAATGAAAACTCCCCTTTGCAAATCTGCCCTTTAGGTTCCTGCTTGAAAAGAAAATAGGAGACAGTTTGAGGAGATTCATTTTTTCCTCTAGTTTATATATAACTTGCTAAGCATTTTATTTTTTGAAATGAGCTTACTATGTTCAATTTAAGTCCAAATTTAATGATCCCTGCAGTAATTCATTTATGGGTACAGCTTCAATAAACGCCATAGCAAAAGTCAGGGAATAACTGTCCTTGTCCGCAGCACAATGATTAATCAACCTTATTAAAATTAGGATTGGCTGAGGAGATTTGCATAATATAAGAAGACTCAGAGCCTTCTCGAGGACAAAAATGAACCTTAGAACAAATTTTGGAGCTTTCCTCCCCACTTACCCAAGCTCTCTGTTTCCATGTATCCTGGGAGCAGAGTGGCTGGTTTGGCTCATGTGTGGAGATGGATGATACAACAGTGGTCCTAAAAAGGGTTAAAAAAGACCTATTAGAGACAAGCAGGTTACAAGGCACTTTGGGCAGGAATAGGATGTGGGAAACATCCTATTTCTGACAATTTAAGAAGTGTTTCTCAATGATTTGGAGCAAGACTGCTTTCAAGATGAGGCATTAATTGGAGCAATCACTTGAAGCTATATTATCTTATGTTATTTTATATTATTTTATGTTATTTGATATTATTTGATCTTACTTTATATTATTTTATGTCCTCATCTCCCCTTCCAGCTGGGCAGGGTCCCGGATGCCTGCTCTTCTTAGGGAGCAACCGGTGCTCATGCTCAGAGTGGCTTATCCCCCTTGACAGGTCAGGTAAAGCAAAAGCAGCCCTGCTCAGGGCAGCTCTGCACCCCCAGCTCTGGAGACCGGCACCCCAACATGGCCCAGGCCATGGTGCCAGAACAGTCCCCTGCCACCAGGCTGCCAAATCAAGCAGCCCAAGCCCCCGCAGACTCCACATTACTGCTGCAATGACCCTATATGTAACACCAGCCAACCATGAGGGACCAATTAGATTTCTGGATCCAATTAGCAGCAGCTGTGATTTGTGTGCATCCCTCCATACATATGGCTACGCTGAACTTTCCCTCAGTTTCAAATGTCCCCGTCTAGTGCAGGCGAAACGAGAGGAAGGACCATTTGTCTCGTTTTTTCCAAGAGCCTTTATTATGATGGACGAGGAACCTTTTACATCATTCACCAACTTGCAAACAAATTAGCTACCTTCATCACCTTCCCCTGATAGCAGAGCTGGCAAGTGACGGCCCGATGAGCTGTTGGGGAGCGGGTAACTGGTGTGGGGGGGTGGACAAGTGTTTCATTGGACATGATCAACTAAGTTTGCTGGAAATAAAATATAAGTGAAGTCAGATGCTGAGGGCTTAAGTGTCCATGCATTAACCAAGATGGTTTCCATCTCACGGAGCAATCTGGGCTCTGGCCATTTAGGGCGGGACAGGAATTGTTACTCATTTTAATGAATGCTGGGCATCCAAATCCCTTTGGTGGGATTGAAAAATCTCATCCCTAATTTTTATGTGCCTCTGTCCCTCACACACAGCCAACTCTCGCAGGGCGCTCCAGGAAGCCTGATAAAAGTGTTACTACTATTACTAGTAAAGATCTTTCATTTCCTTGAAAAGATCAGAGTAGGAAGAAAAGAAAGGTCCAGGCCTGCTGACAGAATGACAAGCAGATGAATAGAGCTGGCTCCTTCTTTCCCATCAGTGGTTTCAGCCCAGAAATAGAAGATCCCATCAGCTGCAGCCCACCAGAAGCTCCATGCTCAGACTCATGCATGCAATAAGACCACATCACTAATAGCATCAGAAGGGGATGATGCAGATGAGTGCAGGTCCTGCTGCGAATGATCCTGGTAAGGACAGTGATGCTGCCAGCACGGAGGAGCAAGGACACAATAAATGGGACTTAATGGCAAGGTATTCTGCAGCTATGCCCAAGGGGTCAGCCCATTTCTCCTCTATCTGCAGGGCTTTTATGGGCAGGCCACTGTTGTTGGCAGGAGGTGTCGATAATGGAGTGGATCACCATCTGCAGCTCAAAGGGAGAAGATAAAACCACTTTATGGGTTGCTTTAAAAAAGAAGACATCTCGCTGGAAAGTATCTGTTAAAATAATAAGGTGGTGTTGGAGAAGAGACCCCTGTACACATGCATAGCCTTGACAAAACTGCTCAGGGTAGAGGCACTAGAAATGAGGCCCTGGGTCATTTTATTGCACAGTAAACAACTCTGTCTCCATTACTGGCAATGTTTGGAAATGAGCCCTTTTGCACAGCAGTCTTTCAGCAGCTGGCTCCTGGGGATGAGCATGGGGAGGGACTGTGAGTATATTAGGAGAGCAGGAAAGGGGCTGAAGGTTGCATGACGTCTCTCCAGAGCAGAGTCTCTGGGAGAAAAGAAGAGTTTCTCCCTATTTGGCTGAAAAACAAAGGGGACAAACCTGGTGATGGCTGTTGCTCATCCCTCCTCTTACAGGTTGTTCAACCTGTGTTTCCTCGGTGGGGAGAGGTGAAGTAAGGCACCATTAGTGATAGAAGTGAAAGATAAACTGGGTGCTGTTTTCCATGGACATGGAAAATGCAAGGGAATTAAACTTAACCCTTGGGAGATGATAAACATCTTTGAAAACCCAGCCCAAATGCTGAAGTTACAGTAGCTGACCCACAGAGAGGAAGAACGGTTTTGTGGTTAAGGCACTTCGCTGTGATCTGAACAATCTGTGTTTAATTCCAGTAGCCACCATTTCCCTGTGTGCTCTTGGACAAATCACTTTGTATCTTTTTGTCCAGCTAACTATGTCAATTGGGGAGATAGCTCTTCCTTTTCAGATAGTACTCGCCATGAAAAGTTTGCATAAATCTACACATTGTGGATTGAAGCAACAAGTTTCAGGATCATGTCACCTTGATAGAAACAGCAACATTTTATTCTCCTTCATGGAAGGAGTTGAATTCCCTGCTTGAAAGCAGAATATTATATCTGCAATCCACTCCTTTTCGTGGGTCAGTATTTGAAACTGATTTCTGTGTTAAAAAAGAGAAGCATCATAGCACAAAAATGGCTTCATTAGCTTTGTAGACAGCCAGTGTGAGTACAGAATACCCTGAGCGAGGGTCCTCTCCAGCCAAATAACATCCTTTAGGGAACTTGGCAGTCCTTCCAGGCTGTGTGTCAAGGAGACTGAGCAACTTTACATCAACACAACATGGATTTTCCTTCTACCAAACTACTCTGCAATCTGTAATTTTTAACCTCACAAGTTTGAGATTGTACCTTAACATTTGCAGGAAGCAGATGGCTTCTGCATACTGCCAACCTGTTGTTACAAAAGCATCTTCCAAGAATTGTTTTCTACCCACAGTCGCTAACCATAATTAACCTTTCATATGATTTAATAAACAGGAAAAAATATTTGCCATCTCATATTAATAAAGAGAGCTCTTTAGGACATCATGGGGGGGGGCCCCCCCCCAAACATAGAAGCTGTGGTAATATTTTTGTGTGCTTATTTATTGCCTTTTAAGCTATTTAAGGATGCAGCTTACCTATGCAGATTAAAGCTGCAAAGGACAGCATAATAGTGGATGTGAAGAGCATCTTCTGGCATGGCACAAAATGACCTGTCCTTTGAGGAAAAAATGGCAAGACCAAGTGAGAAGAGTAACTTCTAATCCCAGGTTAGTGATGGAGACCAGAACTCACAGACAGTCCCAGTGATAGCAAAGCAGACAGCTACAATTTACATCTTTTCTTACACTCATAATCTTAATGCCTCACAGAGTTTTAAGTGATGATAATAGAGTCCTGTATTGCTTTGACCTTTTTTGATATTCAGAAACTTTACCGACTGGTCATTTTTGGATGGAGTACTCGCTATATATACATACACCACAGTGACAAACACCTCCAAAGTGCCTAGGAGAGAGCTAAGTGCAAAGTGGTATTATTGCCATGATTTCACTAATGAATGAAAATGAAGACGTTGGCTACAACTTTTCCCCCATATTATGAGGGAAATGAAATGACAGGCGTAAGTAAAAAGCTGGCATGGGGGACCAAAGTACATCTCTCAGTTCCTGATGGGTAGTTTGCTTTGGCTTAGGACATCAAAGGCTTTCTGAAAAGCTGAAAACTATAAAAGAAATATTCTCTTGGCTTAACCAATTTCCATAATGTTAGGGAACACTCTCACTGTTAGGACAGGAGAACCTCTTTTTCAATTAATGTTTCTTGTGACTGTTGAGTGCTCATTATCCATTAGAATGATAATGCACCCACGAAATTACAAATACCATTATGATGATAACTGCTTGGCTATAAAGAATAAAATAAAGTCATATACATACAAAGACTGATTTGCAGTTCAGGAACCGATTCCAGGAGACCATCACAGTTTTTCTGTCTTGTCCTTGGTTTTGCTGGTATGGTGGAGCTCACCGGATGGCATTCCATTCCCTTTCGTTATCGATATGCTGCCAAGATTGAAATGCATCAACTTGAATTAAGATGGATGCACATCAAATTAATGCAAGCCTAAAGAGACTGACCTTGTGGCTGAAAACTAAAAATGGACAAATAATGATAATAAAAGAAAAGGTTTTGTTTCCTGAGGCTAGGAATTAAACAAACAAAACCAAGGATCTCAAAGAGGCAAGTCTTTTTTATTTTACTAAGGATAAAAACCTGTCTATAAATGTAATACGTACCTGGAAACCACCAGGCAGTTGCAGTATTTTCTCTTCATCCTATTATTGTCTCAGACGTTGATTGATATATTTGTTTGCCTGGAATACAGCAGAAAACCACCATTCTGTTATAGCTGCCTTTTATTGTTTTAAGTAATTAATTCTTCAGTTATATCAGACTGTGGGTACACTTTTTACTCTGCTTCCTTTTGTGATTATTTTGTCCTAGTCTTGGTTTAGAAAAATATTTTGTTGGTGTTCTCAGATTTTCCCTGGATGAGAACAGCTTTTTTAAAGATTTTCCCATTAAAAAAAGATCATTTTCCTACAGAGGCTGTGATCACAAAATATGCATTGTGTTATCAACACAAGTTTGAAAAATGCGAATATGGATTGACTTCTGTAAATCTCGGTGAGATACAGGGTAGAAGCAGTACAGGATCAGATACCTTTTATACAATGCATTCTCTTTTTGCATGGTACCTTACAGTGCCCTCTCCAGCCCTGAAGATCAGAACTTCGGTGCTGCTGCTGTCCTTGGAGGGCATTTTCATTTTTTAAACACCAAGCCCAGTTTACAAGGTCTGACCATTTGAATTCAATTTTCACTCCTTTATTTTCCAATTCAGTTCAAGATTCAGTCTGAGGTTTAGCCTTTGGCCTTCTGAATTTTCTTTTTCCTGCCCACTGTCTCAATATTAGTCTTTTTTTAATATAAACTGATTTTCTTGCTGTTGTTTCTTAGTTCACTTTTTTGCTTTGTTTAGCTTTCTTTTTTCCCTACAGGACGGGCTAAACAGTCTCTCCGAGTACTTTTAGGATTCATTGGATACAGCCCAAATCCACAGGACAAACATTTTGTTGCCTCAAGAGCCTTGTGGATCTATAATCTTCAGCTCCTTTCACTACCCTGGCAGCCGTTTCAAGTCAGGATGTGTTTGATGGGTTTTTGGGGAGAGCACGTTTTCATTCAAGAGATGTTACAGCAGAATTTGCGCAAGGTCTGTGGCGGTCTGTGTCTGAAGGCAACAAAGCCAGCTTTCTCCTCCGGTTTGGGTCTCTTTTCAACACTTACCAACTTTGTCTCACAACACCCTTGAGGAGGCAAATGTACTTTTTGTTCCTTTATTAACAGCGAGGGAACTGGGACATTAAAATCCCAGTTTTGCAGTGGGAAGCAGCCCTGGGTGGATGCCCCAGTGGGGAAAAGGGGGTTTGGTGTGCAATGCTCTGGATACCCCTCAGTCTCTGCTTACCTTATCCACCCTAAACCCCTCTCTCAAATCTATTCCTCCCAAAACTGACAGCCACAAAGCTGTGGAAGTGCTGTTTCTGTGGAAGGCGGAAGGTTTGTTTGCTGTTAACATCTTTTTTTGTTCCTTTCCAGCCAGTTTTGTTTCCCTCTGCCATTGCTGCCACTCCTCACCCGTTTTAAGGCATTTATTTGTATGGATCTCCATGGAGGAAACAGACTTTTTATCCCATATTGCAGATAGAAACTATGAGAGAAGAAGATTTATTATGTCACTTGCTCACATTCACCATGGAAGTCCTTAGTAGATATTTGCAGCCCAGTCTCCAACCTCACCCTACCTGTCACGAGTAGTGACATTGCTCCTGTCCTCCCTGACTCCACTTCAACCTCTCTTCTCTCAAAACAGAGATAAGCATCATTGCCACCTTTTACCATTTTATCATGAATCTCATGATAATTTATTATTATTACTATTATTATTGTTACTATTATTATTATTACTATTATTATAATACCCCCTCTCTGAAGTGGTTTAAGAATGTGAGAAACTCCACTTTCATTAAAAGGAAAATCAAGTTATGGACAAAAGGCTGAAGCAGAAAGACTAGAAACTGTAATACTAACAGAAATAATTCAACATTTTTAAAACATTCAGCTGCTTCGAGGGTCATCCCATGATTTACATGGAGTGACTCATGATTTTCCAGCACAGTTGCTGGGCAGACCTTAAAGATCATTGCCTAAGTAGGAATACTAATTTTAAAAAGCATTCAGCTCCTCATCAGATGTTGAGGAGCACAACCCGTTTTCATTCTCCCTGCACATTAGCCAAATTAAATCAAAATAAATATCAATGAAAATATTGCACAGGACATAAAACCCCATCCATTTGCGCTCTATCCATATGCTTCTTTATGAGATGCTGGGTTTCACTCCTGCTCTGGCTCTCCGCTGCCAGCCTTGAGAGCACAGCAAGGCGGGGAGTCCCCGATGTGCTTTAGACATTCATCCCTTAAATACTGCACCCCGGGGCCTGCCTGCATTTTAGTTCTCACCACACATCCTCGCCAAGCTTATTTCTGCCTGCAGGCAGCAGCCGTGGCTGGGCTAACGCTTGCCAGCCTGGCTCTAGCCCTTGCCACCGGCTCGGGACGCACTGCCGCTGCGGGTTTAGACATAAGGAGCATTTCTGCCAGCAAAAAAAGTACAGTTGCTAAAAGATGCTTTGTTCATTAATTATCTTAGGGTGGTTTGGACAAAGCAAACATTTACATGCCCGGGAAGTTGTTTCTTAGGGATGCTGGCGCGTTCGCTCCGGGGTCCTTCGCTCTGCATCTGCATCAGAGATGCTGCTGTTCCCGGCGTGAGTGCAACCTGCCTGCGAAGCAAAGCACGAAATGCCCACTGAAGAAATCATAAAGCGGAACTCAGATTTAAAAAGGCAACCAATTTGTGTCTGCTCGGGAGCAAGAATAGTGATTCCTACTTTTAAAACCGGTGCAGTTTAGGGTAGTGTGATTAGAGATTCCACATTTCCCCTCTCATTATTATTTAGCTCCCTCATTTGAATGCTCAGGTTTGAGGGAAGGGGGATTGCTTGGAAATTACACACGCAGCCAAATTTCTTCCTTCCCCTTTGACAGGGCAGCGCTGATGGTTATTGTTCTTTTCTAGCTGCATTACGCTATCCTTGATTTTTGTTTCAAGCAGTCTAATGGCATGATGTCAAATCCTGCTAATTGGTTTAGGATTAAAATGCAGGGCCACATCACTCTCTTGATTAACCAGCAGCAAAACTGCTTTTGTCTAACGATCGTTTCCGAGGAGAAAGAAAATAAAGCATATAAAGGAAGCTTCAGGCTTTTGTCAGTAAAAATACATAGGAAACTGCTTTTTTTTTTTTTTTAAAGGGAAAAAAAAATTTGCCGCTGCTAGTCCCACTAAGTTTTGACTTGTAGCAGTTTAAAAGCAGCCCTGTGGGGAAAGATTGCTTCCTAAGGAGCAGAGACTGTGCTTTTATCCAGCATCCAGCCACTCGCTGTGTCGCAACAGAGCATCCATGTCTGGACCTTCTCATATTTAATATACCAGCAGCAAAATATCAATGGGAATGTCTCAGCCCCACTTCCGGCCTCCCTGATGCCCCAGTGGGTCCAGCCTCAGCTGAGCTTGCACCAGGATAAATAACCCAGGACTGAGCAAAGGCTGCAGCAGCCGATGCAGCTCCAGGGAGATTCTGGGAGCTGCAGGCACTAGCAGGGACCTGAGCAGGGTGCGGAATGCCCGGGGCCATGGGGAGAGTAATTCCATCTGCAGCATCCCCCTTCACTCGCTCACAACCACAGAATCCAGTTCTGCAGCCCGAGATGGAGCTGTGTTTATCGGGACTGAGCTCACCTGCTGGGTGGTTAGCACAGAGCTGGAACAAGTAGTTTTGCCCCTGTGACAGCAAGGATAAGGGATTATTGGGAGGGGAAGAGGGGGAAAGCATGGCTCAAATTAAAATGGGGATGGAAGCAACAGTAAACCACTACTTTGTTACCCCCCAGCTAAAAAATCCCCCAAACAAACACACAAGAACCTCCTCTGTAAGCCCCTAAAGATTCTCCCTGATGCACTGTTTAATCTCTTTGGCTCCTGTTTTCCCTGACCAGCTGAGGGATTTAATTTCCAGGGAATTAGACGTCCGATTCAGGGCATTGTTTCGGGAGCTGTGCACACGATTTGCCACACACAGTCCTGAAAGTCACCGTCGGACCCAGAGCTCCCAGCACGCTCCCAGCCCAGCCCCGCTCCTCCGGGAGGTGAAAGGGACTTTATTGGGAAGGTTTTGATGCATTTGGCATGTCTTTGAACCTGGCTCCCCCAAAGGGAGAGAATGAACTCAGGCGGAGAAAGAAAAAGGAAATAAAAGGGCCCTTCCCATCTGCCCGGTTGCATTCAATGGAGAGCTTTTTAAAAGGTATAATAGAGGTTTGTGTGTTCCTGCTGAGATTTGTTCTGGTCAGCTTCTCCGGGGTGCTCAGACAGGGCAGAGTGATGTGTCTGCCCTTCTCCAGCACCCTCAGAAAGACACGATGGTGTTTTTGGGGGGTTCTTTTGGTAGTTATATTTTTCTGCTGCACACATTTTGTGCTCTCACACAAAAGCAACTCAAGCCAGCCGTGCCGAAAACAAAAGTAGCTTTTTCTCTGGGCTTTCACCAGCAGCGTTGCTAAGCCTGGTGTTCTGAAGCTAAACCCCAAACATCCCCACAGCATCCAACCCAGGTTTTCCTAGAGAGCATCTCCGGGATGATGGGGAGCATCTTAGGGCTCAGCCCAGTTTTACAGCACCCCATCCTGGAGGTAAATCACGAGCAACAGTGGCTGTATTCCAGAAGTTGTCCTGCTCTTTACTATGCTCTGTGACTTGATAGTGCAATTATTAAAAGCAAGGTCAGGTACAAAGCTGATGCTTTAAAACATGATGCTGGCCCCAGCACAGACGAGATGACATTTAACAACAGTAAGCACTCAGGAATGGGCCCTGTGTCAGCACCCACCAGGTACAAAAAAGCCTGAGAAGTTCTTGGCTGTCATGAGCAGCTTTCTGCTTTGCAAACTATGATAGGAAGAGTGGAAATATGTTTTGTCTGCTTTTCCCTGACTCTGGGACTCCAAAGCAGGAAGATGAGAACATCCTGCACACATGTTAATTAGTCATTCCTTAAAACCAAATGTCACAGCGCTCATATTTAATTCCAAGAACAGACTGATGAATATGTACGTATAGTTATATTTCATTTACATACTCTGGGATTTGTTAAGAGACGCCTAATAAAACCATCTAAAATGAATTAGTTCTTCTCCTACCAACATTTATGTTGAATATGCATCTATCAGAGGAATATTCCCATTACTGTAACAGGAGATTTTCACAGAAACAAAATACATATATTACACTTCATAAAGGCAGATAGTGAGTTAAAGCAGACACCCTCTAAGTGGGATTTGATTTTTGATGTAGGAAGCGCACAAAACAAGGGGCTTGAGAGCCAGTGGGAAACAGTGATTGGGTTTATAGGAGAGCTCTTACCGAAGAGGCTGAAGCTCAGCACCCAGAAGGCTGAAAGAAAGTATCTATATAAGGGAGATGTTAAAGGAATTGAATTATCTCCTTAAAGCCAGCAGGAAAAGAAAAAGCCTTTGAGACTTTTGTATTCTCTATTTTCAACTTCCTAGTTCTGCATCTAAGGCTGTTGTTTTCAAACATGTTCTTTTCCTTTGCTCGGAGCTCCTACCGCTGGAGCAGGGTGCCATCCAGGCAGCTGCACTCAGAAAAGCCCTTCCACCCCAACAGGCCTCTCAGGGACTTTTCTTTCTTTCCAAAACAATCCAGTTTATAGGAAAACCACTGTGGGTTTGGTACCTTCTATATCACCCCCCTCAACTGCCATGTACCCCATGAGCTCTCCGGGACATGAAAGTGTGGCTGCTTGTCCTGGCGGGCACATCATCCGCTCGACAGGTCCTGCTGCAGGGATTCAGCTCACACTCCTGCTGATGTGTGAGTCTGGAACAAATCTGGCTCACTCGCCCTGCGTTGGCTGGCCTCCGTAGGGCTAAGAG